TTATTTTCTTTACTGAAGGGTGATCAATATATTGACGTGATGAACTCTTGTCAGCATGTCATTATCAATGGTGAAGAAGTTTCCAGAGCATGCTCTGTCAAATAACTTGGGGTGACCATTTCCCGCAATCTTTCTTGGTCTCCTCATATCGTTGAAACATTTCACAAAGTCAGAAAACTCACCTTTTAAATTATTCGTTTGAAGATGCTATCTACCCCAAATCACTTAATAAAGCATTTTGTTTTCTCTTGTATCCTTTCCCACTGGCTTTATGCATCCCCTGTTATTTTCCGGATCTTTTAATCAAAGACTTCAAACTCATACGCACATCCATCAAACACGTATGTCGATACAGCGGCACATCCCTTGAGTATGTTGTGCAGTTTATTATTTCACAGCACCTTAGGGCTTGCCAGAAAACTATTAGACCCATCTCACCGACTGTACCCTCATCTTAATCTGTGTATCTCCACATCTAGCACTCGTTCCATGTATAAACATATAGCAGCACGCACCACTACATACAAGTCTTCTATAATACCGTACCTGGCACGGTTTCTTACCAACGCTGATCTTGTCATTGGAACTCGTAGACAAAATCTTTGCTAAATTGACTTTTTGTATATGTAACGTATCACCCTACTTTTTGTTACCATGCAATTTCCAAAGAAGGGTGATTATGTAGTAGCTGAATGTTCATCCACTATAGGGAGAATTAAAGCCGCTTCTTGACCTTGACCTTGACCATAATCTCTCCGAATTCATACCATACAAACGTCGTGCAGAAGATAATTTCGTTTTAGCAGCCGAAGAACATTTTAAATTCCATTTGAAGAATTTTAACTCAGCCCTCTTTATAAATAATGAAGTGGAAAACAAGAAATCCGTAACGTTTCTAGGGATAAGAATTACGAAGTCACAAAATGGAACATTAGGGTGCTATGTTTACTGAAAATTAGCATGAAGCGGAAAATACCTACACTTTTTCATTTTTTCCCCTTGGCTTACGACCGCAGATTCGCAAGAATCTTATATCATCGGGTGGAAAATTTTATTCTCCAGGTGTACTACAAGAAGAAGAGAAATTCCCAAGGAGAATATTACTGAACAATGGTGATCCAGAAAGATTCAGAGATATTCACAGGAGACAATTCCGAAGAGAAAACCCAACTGATAGCGTCAGCAAAAAGGCAGTCTAGATGAAGTTTCCTTTCATAAATGACCACGTCTTAAAAACTATGTGCAAAATGTGCAAAAACAATTTGTACATGCGCTTAAGCTTGCAGGAAGATCCGAAATTCCGAAAATGAAGTAACCGAACCTGTTTCGATCTCTGCTTATCTACTCATCAGAAAATTGTCAGTCCAGCGCTTTATCAAATTTATTGAATATGAAGCTGAGAGATACACGGGCAATCAGTTCAGGTCTGCCCCAGTCTCCCTGTGATTGTGTGCAGGAACATAAACCCAAATGGATTTATTTATAACGCATACTGCTTTTAACGTCCACCAATGCACAGTTCAGTGTTAACAAATTTCAATTTATCTCACCACTGACTATACTGCAGCTTTGTTCCATTAAAAATGGAACCCAAAATATATCAATCAGTTATTAATCACGGCTTTTGTGGACAAAAGATCGTCGTTTTATGTTGAAAAAATATTTTGTTTAACTGAAGCATGTGAGTGAGAATTCCTACCGATGAAACAACCATACCGCTCTTCTTCAGAGAACACACAACCTCATCATCGCTGAGTCAGAGCAGGAGTAGAAACTGTTTCGCTGTCCTAGATCCTTAAGAGGAGCCAATCAGGAAAGAAGACATGAGTTGGATCGTACAACACCAATCCCCTCTCCCCCTCCACCCCCTTGTCTCATCGGCATAATTCGGGCCGCGAATGAGCACGAATGATCGACAGCCATTTTTCCAACTCCTACATTTCTAAATGGATCTGAGATTTTTAGAGCAACACATACAGCCGAGTACACCACAATGAATTATGACCGTGATTGTGACATGCTGCTCGTATAACTGTTGTGCCTGAGAATCAACATGATTGTGTATGGTAGTTTCCGGATAAAGTTATTGTATTTGCTTCGGCTGTGGTCAAAACTTCCATCGAATTTCATTTTTCAGTCGTGAATTTTCGAGAAACACAAAAGTCAGTCTGTTAATTGTCCTCGCGGGTAAAAAGAAACACGTAGCACATTCAGGCTACTCGTCATGGTTTGTACTTCCTCAAGTAAACAGGTTAGTGGAGTGTCAGTCAAAAGGATGACCCACAATAAAAGCTCCAGTTCTTTTAAGGAGCCCTCAGAGTTGAAACAATCGAAAAGGTAACCACTCGAAAATGAATTCCTATTATTAACCCTTGTCTGAAGCTTTTTATTATATATTTTATTGTGATGAACATTGAACGGGAGGTAAATCAAATAGTCATGGACAATCCAAGTAATTAGACCCGGAATAGCCATCCTCATAACATCGCACCCCACCCCACCCCTCAACCGCGTATACTAGTGCAGCTATTGACAATATGGTACAACTAAAACGGTTGATGGACAGTTTTACCCTAAAGTCGATTTTTATGAGAAAATGAATGAAATGCATGAGTTGCATTTAGAGATAATAATTTCACATTTCGTCATCTTTTGTTATGAAAACAGCTAGTGTTTACGGTTAACAATGCGCGACAACCTGATGAGATTGTTTTTATATTCCGAAAAATGAACAAACTCTAATATTTTTGGCAAAATCATTCCAGTTATAGCCCGCCTATCCTTACTGCAACATGGCTTTGGTTGCCCTTATCTCGTTCAGCTGCGCATTTATTCAAACACGGCTAACCAACTCAGCTTACCACGTGCGATTTGGGATCTAACAGTTCGGGAATCCGTTGCCTCTCACCCATTTCTGCTAATCGTGCAGAACAACAGCTGAGAAAATCACAGGCCAGTTGGAGAATAATTTCCCGAGGCTCATAATTCCAGCGGCTTGCAGCTAAGGGACCACTTGGTTGATCTGAAACCGAGGTTGTCACATTAGCGCCAGCGCGTGATTCCCCGGCTACAGGATCCATTTGTATTAGTGTCCCCCCGACCACACCACGTTTAGCTGCATCTCGCACCTCTCGTGTTCCCGTGGGTATCTCGGTATCTCTAAGAGGTCGGTTCGAGGCGCGTCGTGTTGCGGATGCTTGAGGCCAAGACGGGGCCAAGTTGTTGCGGTAGGGCTCTGTTCGACGTTCGACCGGACCCC